GAGATAAAATTTAACCTGATTACCACCAGAGCCACTGCGCCGTTATCTCTGTGACGGTAAATGAGGGAAAAACAAATTGATCAGATCCTGCACATCTTTTAACACATTGGTCAGGATTGACGCACTTTGTTTTCATTTAGTTGGTTAAAAAAAAAGTCAGGCTCGGGTCGGGCCAGAGAATCCTGAAAACCTTTTCGGGCCGGGTCGGGCTGGGGCTCCACCCCCTCGGGCCGGGCCGGACACGGGCTCAGATTTTAGGCCCGTGCAGGGCTCTAGCTAACATCACCACCCGGTGGAACACTAGCGACATAAAGGTGGGTTGGTTCACCAGCACGTGTTGGAGTCAGCCCGGTAAAAATGATTAACGACACAGAGCGGAGTCACATTCACGTTTGAAAGCGGCGCTGAATACAGAAACATCAGTACAAAGTGCGTAAGTTGCTCTTAGCCAGCATGACGAACAAGGGAACAGCGCCTCAAACTCTGTTCGGGTGTTGCTTTCCTAAAGGGTCTATGTAGGGGGCGGGCGTATTACGTGAACGGAACCATCTGGCCGCATATCAGAAGGACTACATTTGATTGGTCAAATAATACTTCCGCGTAAAAAACAGAGCTGGTTTACAAAAAGCTGATGTATGACACGGATGGAAATGTTTGAACCAAACATTTATCGCTGTTTTTGCCGTGTTTTGCAATGGGCCTATCGCACGTCCTGTTATCGCGATTTTTCGATACATTGTGCAGCCCTACTTTTTACTATGAGCAATGGAGTCTTTCCCCATTAAGGTGGTGATCCTTTATTTAACTGACTCAAACTCCACACCCATCCTTCACACACCCCTTGTTCTATGAAGGTGTTGCTGCTCTGGGAATCTAGAAGTAGCCTGGCAAGCCAGACTAAATAAATGTATTATTTAGTCTGGCCACGCTCCATTGACGGCTCTCGGTTGTGGGGCGGGTTCTACCGTTGCTTTTCAAATGATCTCCGCATTCCACTGGACAATGAATGTGACATAATCTTGTTTCACTCTGTTGCATCATCCCACCCACCAGGCATATAGAGTGCCCTAATTGGCCCACAAAGCGGATAAAGCTCTGTGATTTGTTCACTAAGCAGATAGAGCACTATGATTGGCCCACCATTATGGACCAATCACAGCTCTTTATGTGTTTGAAACCCCTCTAGAAAGCTGTGATTGGCTAGCCAGAGTCCTGGTAGGAGCTGCTGAGGTTCCAATAGAGCTCCGGGAGTTGACGTCACTTCTCCCGGCATGCAACAGTTCAAATCGAAACGGCGCCATATTGGCATGCAGAAGCCGGCAGCTGGACTATTTGTTATTGTCAGAAAACTCAATCAAACGGGAAATATGGTAGATTCCTGTTGTGCCCCAGGATACAGAACAGACGCGGACGACATAAGGGATGAGCCATCTACAGGATTCCCCAAGATCCGGAGCGCCGCAAACGTTGAATCATTGTAATAAAACGCACTAGTGACCGGGCGAAAATGAAGCTGTGGGATCCCGAGAGTAAAGGTTTTCGCTTATGCAGCGACCACTTCATATCAGGTACTTAAACCAACGTTTCCTCAACTGTGTATGGTATTTATTTTAAATGCTTTTATTATGATTCTTAGTGGGCTTCCTAAACTTATTTTGGCGTGGCTTTTTCTGTCTTATTACTCATAGCAGCAAGTAAACATCACGTAAAACGTTGCCTCGTGAGTTCCGCGTGCTGCCGTTTCCGTGTTTTATGATGACAGCAATTAACCGGCTAAGCTGTATTTAATTTTTAAGCAATGGTCGATCAATTGTCAGATCACACATAAAAAGCACTTTGGATTGCTATTATCTGTCTCACTGAGACTACTTGCGTGTAAATCTGTTATTTGTCCGTCCATCCATCCATTTTCATCCGCGTATCCGGAGTCGGGTTGCGGGGGCAGTAGCGTGACTTCCCTCTCCCCAGCCGCCGGAGCCAGCTTCTCCGGGTAAATCCCAAGGGGTTCCCCGGTCAGGTCCGGTGTTGTGCTGGTAAGAAGTCCGCTACGACAGCTTCTGGCGTCGGAGCAGACAGTAGAGTCGAGAATCCCAGACCTTCTCCCCAGCTCCTCCGGCCGTTGGAATCCCAAGGGCCACCACGCATTCTTACGCCTCTACCATGCCCTCTTCTTGGGCCTGCTCCTCTTACTGGGCCTGCTCTTCTCCCTGGGCCCCTTCCTCGTTCTTGTCCAGACATTACAGTGTTTGTCCTTTCTGTTTCTGTTTCCAAATACTTGACACCTGAAAGTCCTCTTATTTTAGTGTCAATGTAATATAAATAAATATCACCTGCCACTTAGTCTAAACCTGAATGTAATCAGCTTTGGTAAGCCAAATATACTCAACATACATCAGCTGTGTGTAAATTATTCAATTGTTTGTTTATTATCAACTGAGATATATTGTTTTTGAACAAATCATTGCAGAAGCAGAGGTTTTTATACTGCATTTAAGGTAGGGATGCACCGATCGGGTTTTTTGCTGCCGATCACTGATACGATATCAAAGAATGCTGATCACCGATACAGATCGCCGATACCGATCATGTGGATTGGCCACAAATTTTCTACAACATTATAATGAGTGCTACAAACTACATAATCTGGGAATAAAGGAAATGTAACCTAATCTAAAATGGTCTGTATTAGGGTTGTCACGGTGTGAAAATTAAACCTCACGGTTATTGTGACCAAAATTACCACGGTTTTCGGTATTATCGCGGTATTTTTTTTAAACGTGCTACATATTCACACAATTAAATAAACCCTGTATGTCAAGAAATGTTGTCCTCAGTTTGTGTCTAAATTTAGCCTAAAATGTGTTATTTTGTAATTTTGTTTTTTATTTGTTTACATTTTTTCCCTTTAGTCTTTAAAATATCAATATTTGCCCATAACTTCTTATTTTTTGTCTGTTTGTCATCATTTAAAAAATATTAGATCAGATGATACTCAGTACTCAAGTAGCCTTCTATTCAGATACTTTTTTACCCTTACTTGAGTAATAAACCCTATATCAGGAAAATGTTGTCCTCGGTTTGTGTCCTTCCAGTGAGCTTTGCAGATGTGGGAAAATGTCATCAGGCAGTAATCATTGTTAAATTCATAATTATTCTCGGTGAGAGACCAACTCTTATCTGCCCCTGGGAGCCCCGTAATGCATAGCGACATTTGAACATGGGGGGGTCCACGACACGGTTTATATGCAGGTAACGGCGCTGCGGCTGCTTTATATAGCGACTCGTTGCATTCTCCCTCAACCCAAATCCTCGGATCCCACATTTTAGGTAAAACGCTAACGTTAGCTTGCCTTGCGTTGACTGTAGAGTTGTGGGTGATGGTCACGCAGATGTGTCATGAGATTTGAAGCGTTGCTGCCTTTCACAGACACTTTTTCTGCACGTGCTGCAAACAGGATAGCCGTCTTCTATAAACTGTCTCTCGGTATTCTTCAAATATCCAAAAAATGCCTGTACTTCCCACTTTGTCTTCTTTGAGGGATAAAAAATGTCCTCCTGATAAAGAAAGTTTTGGTTGTAAACAACAAAGTGCGCATGTGCCGCCGACAGCTTCAACAGATGATACGGTGGCTGGTAAGGTTCACCCCGCCTACACCGCAGCCACGGTAAACCCACCGAGATAATATAGTTTTTTTTAAAAACAAGACTGTTATTATTATTGTCAACTTTTTTGAAAACTCCGATCAAAACCGATAGGGGCGCTATCGGCCGATTGGGATTAAATGCCGATCCATCGGTGCATCCCTAATTTAAGGTTAGGAATATTGTTTTTGCTATTGTGGGTTGTTGTGTTAACATTCGCAATACTACAAAAACAATCCATAGTTTTGTTGGAAGGAATAGCTTCTCTGTTAAGACAATGTAAGCATTATGGAAATCTGTTGACTGACTGTATATTGTGTGAGAACGACATGGAATGTGTGAATTGTATGGCCACAAAACACCGATGCTGTGCTACTTGTATTTAGAGTTTTGAAAATGTGACAACTGGTTGGACAAATTCTTGTTAGCAACTGAAAAAAAACAACTGTAAAAGCAACTCTGGCTATAAGGACGTGTATGCCCTAATAAGCCACACTTTTTTGTTGTACCAAACTGTTGTTAGAAACAAAATTTTGCTGTTTATTTATACATCTATAATAGTACTTTTTTGGACATACGTAGGACGCCATGTTTTCCGCACGCAATGCACTCTGGGGCGATTACGTATATTGGTTGTGCTTGGAAGAATAGCTATTGACGCTAGTGTTTGTTTACGCACTCACCGTATTAAGTAAAATAAGAGCTGCCCATTGCTCGAGGCGGTCTTCCAGCTCAGGCCACCTGGCTTTTTGCCCGCGGAAACACAGCTGCGTCTTCTTTACTTGTTGGAGTTTATTTTCCAACTTCCTCCACTTGCGAGTCATGGACTCATTAATGCTGAATTCTCTCGCCACTGCTCTATTCCCATGTTTCTCCGCGTAGCTGATCGTTTGCAGTTTAAACTGTGCTTCATAGGCGTATCTCTTAGCAGGTGCCATTCTCAGGGTTGTCAGAACAATGTTCAGCATACCGCGCGTACCTGCCCTTTTAAACTATTCAGGGTCTGTCTTCGCTCACGTCCGCACGTTCACGCCACGCCCCTTGCCGTTCTCACCACGCCCCTTGTCTTCTACTACGTTTACGTCTCACAACAACACAATAGGTGCACCGCACTATAGGGCGTGGCGTACATTTTGGAGAAAATTTAAGACTTTTAGGTGCGCCTTATGGTCGTGAAGATACGGTAACTCTCGTTTTGTTTCTTTGATGGTGGAAAAAGTTCAAATTTGTATCAAGTCTACCAAAACGTACCAGTAGAGTTAAAACAAAGAGAAGTGTGGTATTACCAGATGCTGTTTAATCGACTGAATTCAAGCAGAAATGATCATATTTAATATTGTATTAATTTATTTCCTCAGGAAACTTACCAGGGACTTATTTTGCCTTTTGTGTGGTGATTGATGGCTTTGAGTACAAAACTGGCCTGGGAATAACCAAGAAAGAAGCTCGTTTTAATGCGGCAACGCTTGCTCTGGAGGACTTGTTGCCTTCTTTCGAAAACCAGGAGTCTGTTCTTTCTGAAGCGTTGGGTAAGAATTAAAGTAATACTTTTCTGCAAACTTTTCATCCAAATATTACCTCAAAAATGCCTCTTAGAGATTATGTTTTATCAATTAGAGTAGCTGATTTTGATGAATGTAAAACAAATATCTATACATCAATTTTCCATTTTACTTGTATTTAATAAGAAGTTATTGGTAAATAATCAATTATGTGGGACCATATAGATGTAGTTTTTTTTTCTTCCAAAGAAATACAAAATAAATATTAGTATAGCAAGTTAAACTTTTTTTTTTTTTTTTTTTTTTTTTTTTTTTTTTTTTACATGGGCTGGGTGATGAAACAATAGCAATATGTATTTTGAAATTAATGTCAGGCACCCTGCACTAGATCCAATTAAGCACTGGTACTCAACAGCCAGGATCAACAGTTATATGAAAGACAGAAGCAAGGGGGTTGGAGCACTTGGGTCAATATAAAATATTTAATATTTTATATTGAAGTAGGTAAACTAATGTTTTGACATTGGTGGCTTTGTCACGGGTAGCTCTGACACCTATGTTGAAACGTTTGTTTACCTATTTTGCACTAATAAAATATTTTTTATTTACCCAAGTGCTTCAGCCCCTTCCTTCTGTCTTCTAAATTTAAAAATTACTTTCCCTCAATAGACATGAGAACAGATTGATAGCACTTTGATTTAAAGAATAAATGTGGGGGTTTGGTTGTCTCACTTTGCACTTCTTGCAGGTATGGTTGCTCCTGAACCAGTGTCACCTGCTGCAGCAGCAGGACTTGAAACATTTATATTCCCAGATTAAAGCAAATATGAAACGCCCCAGGCAGAAAGGCTCAGACCTCCCTCTCCCCAGCCACTTGTCCATTGTGTCCTGGATCTTTCATTAAGCCTTCTTCTGTTTGGACGTGCCCAATAAACCTCACCAGCAGATCTTCTCTGGGCCCCTCCCAGATGATTGAGCTTCTCACCCTATCTCTAAGGAAGAGCCCTGCAGAGAAAACTCATTTTAGCAGCTTGAATCCGCAACCTCATTCTCTTGGTCACTACCCAAAGCTCGTGACCATAGATGAGGATTGGAACGTAGATCGACTAGGTCCTGCCACTAAATAGCTTTCTCACCAGGTCAGTGACCTCTGCACCAGAAGACCTCCTGACTCATAGTCCGCTGACTCCACTTCCTCACTGGAAGACGTGCTGGTGTGATTGAGGCAGTCTTCAAATTACTGTGCCTATCAATCCTCAATGTCCCATGTCAAGGTCAGCCTTCCCCACTATAAACAGTTTTTGTAGTGCTCTGCTTTCCTCTCCTGAGATACCTGAGACTCATCCAAGTACTCAAAAAATGGTGGGTAGTCTCACCTGCAGTTTGGTGCATAGGCACAAACGACAGTCAGGACCTGTACCCCCAGACATAGGTGGAAGGAGTCTACCCTCTCATTCACCAGGGTGAACCCAATTGTAAAAGCATCAATATGGGGGGCAACAAGTATGCCTATTGCCTACCCTTGCTCAACAACTCTCAGTGGGGGAATCTCCAGAGTGGTAGAGTATCCAACCTCTCTTAAGGAAATTAATTCCAGATCCAGAGCCATGCTCTGGACAGTCCGACTAGATCTAGCATGAACCTCTCAGCCTCACACACTAACTCAGGCTCTTTCCCTACCAGAGAGGTGACATTCCATGTATCAAGAGCTAGGTTCTGTGGCCAAGGATCAGACTGTCAAGGTCCCTGCATTTGTCTACCATCTATCTCACACTGCACGTGACCCATTTGGCCTCTCTCACAACTGATGAGCCCATGGGGAAGAGGATCTCCATATCTCCTATTCGGGCTGTGCCTGGCTCCATGGCTAAAAGCCTGTCCATCAGGCACTCACCAACGTGCCTCACCTCCAGACCTGACTTCAGAGGGGTACCCTGTTAAAGATTACAATCCCATAGTTGTCACACATACTGGTGTGGTGTGGTGAAAATTTGTCCTTCACAACTGACCCATCCCTGTGGGTAGCAGTGAGCTGCAGGCATGGTCATGCTCAGGAACTATTTGGTGGTTTAACCCTCCAACCCAACCCCTTGAAGCGGAGTCTCAAGCAGGGAGGCATTGGGTCCCATTTATTTTTTATAGTCTTTGGTTTGACCCAACCGGGATTAGACCTCTGATCTCCCAGTCCCAGGGCGGACAATCTACCACTAGGCCACTGAACTGGTACTGCATACTGCTGCTCACTCATGTCTGGTAAAGGGAACATTGTTACCATTGATAGTTACCATCATAAGGGATCTTTATGCTGCACTTTGTCTGATCCTTCACCTAGGACCTGTTAGACACGGATGACGCTACTAGAGGCACAAAGCTGTCGTCCCAGAGTTAATATGTTAAAGTTGCTACCCTCTGGCAGGAGATTCAGGTCAATCAGAACCAGCAACTCATGACACAGAGACAGCTTTTTGCCATCCGTTACTGGACTCGTCAACGGAGCCCCCCCCCCCCTGTTAAGTGCTTGGGTTTTGACTAGTGACTTAATTAATCTAGCGACTGATGTCTCAATGCTCTAATTACAATAGAATTTGCTATTCTGTACATAAACCAGGGGTTGGGAACGTTCTTCCCTAAGGGCTAGTATTCATCATGTTTGAGTTGTTTCCCTACTCCAACACAATTGATTCACCAGTTCAGCAGCACATCAAGCTCAGCAGATGCTTGTTAATCACCTGTTGATTAAAATCAGGTCTGTTGATGCAGGGAAAACATTAACACATTCTGAATAACGGTCCTCAGGGAACGCAGTTGCAAAGCCCTGACATAAACATTTCAGATTGTATATATTTGGATTGCTGTTATTTCTCTTTGTTGTCTCCTCCACACCCCCTAAACACTTATATTTTTTATTTCATAAAGGATTTTTTGCACCAAAATGTAAAAAATAAGTATTTTTAGCTGTATGATAGTCATTCATCTATTCAGCAATAAAGTTGTTCAAACATTGAAATGCTGCTGGAAACATTCTAGCATCTATATCATAAGAATCCTAAATGCTTGCGTGAAGGAAACCAAACTTACTTGAGGCTCTTGGAGAGTACAGACGCTTTTTTCTCCTCTCCCTCCCTCTCTTATCCCAAGGCTCTTTGTCCTGTCTTGTGCACGGCGCTTTCTGCATTTTTCCTGGAAACTGGAAATTATTAAAGTAGATCTGGTCAGTTGGTCTCTCAAGGCGATTGACGAAATTTTTTCAACGATAAGAACAGGAGAAGGGGCTCCCGGATGCCCCTCTGGGACAGAGCCAGCTGGGTATGTCATGGACTCCTGGAAACAGTGGAACCTGTTATGCCTCTCAACTATCTGTAGAGGATTCTGAAGATGTCTAGATATTCGTGGTTTTGGTGTCGGGATTCCTGCTGTTTGGCCTGAGCGGTTACCTGGCCTACCGGAAAATTAATAAGCTTTCGAGGAATATTGGCTCAATCCCGGAGCTCAGAGATGGAATGCATCGTGCTGTAAACGTACAAACTCATATAATTGTCGAGATGAATCGTAAGCTTGGAACTTTGACCCAGAAGGTGGATTCCATCAAGGACAGAGTTGTGGACAGATCAGCATGGATTGGGATAGATTAATTACGCCGTTATTGGATCTAGAGCGGTTGATGACCAACAGAACTCTAAGGCAGAGAGGAAACTCTCTGTCTGTCCCAAAACAATCCTTATCTGAATCTGGTGCCCTTGGAGCCTGTGAGGCTGAAGTCAAAACTCCCCCCTCAGAAGAAATGTGTAATGCGGCTGTTGCTATGGTAACTCTTCTCCCTATCCTAGCCTGGGTGGGACTGTGACCGGTGAAGGCCGTGGAACCGTATCTAGGAGTCACTGTGTTCTCTAATCCATTATCTCCCTCCCCTGTCCAAACAGAGATGTAACTCGCTGCTCTGCGGCTGCACGCACCGAAGTGAGGAGGGTCCCAACCCTACCTCCCCACCTAGTGGACACTTATGTTGTGTAATGTCTGAAGTCTGTGAGTATTTCTGTCTGAGGTGTTTTTTTGCATAGCAAAGCTACCCTCTCTGGTGAGGGTAACTCTGAAGTGCCTTTTTTCCCCTCCCCTTGACTCCATCCTCATATGAACCCTCTTGATCTATTACGGTAGCGCGACTCGGGTTGCGAATGACCACAGTAACCAGTTCTTGTCATGTGTCTATGTATGTATGTCTGATCTCAGAATTGTGTGTACTGAAACTCTTAATTTCCCTCTGGGATTAATAAAGTATTATTGAATTTGAATTGAATTGAAGAAAATAAATTCAGGTTCTTTTTATTTTAACACCCAGAATAATCTTGTTGGAGGTGTTTGTGGTTGGATTTTTTTCTTTACCAGAAGCTGAATTCCCAGTTAGAATTATCCTGTTTTTTTGCTCCTCATTGGATATTTATTATTTTGTATTAGCATGAACACTTGCTAGCTTGCAAGCCTATTATCACAATGCTTCTATAGTTCTATATTAATATTAGCAGAGCTGGCCGATGCAGATGGCAGCTTTTTTTTATAAATGTATTTAAACAAAAGCCTATTGAAGACTTTCCATTTATTTGATTTTATGATACTTCTTGTTATTAGACGTCCCCCCACTCCTGCCAGTTGAAGAAAAACCCTCCGTCAATGACACCCATCCTTCTCCAGCCATTTATGGTAAGTCTTGGTCTCCATATGATTGCAAATGTTTGCTTGCACATATTTGTCACAAGGAGTAACAAAATTAAAGCATCTTTCACTGCTAGACTATTAGGGTTGGACAATGGGACAAATAATTCGACCATTGGTGGTGGACTGAGCCGTTACAATTGTTTTTACAAGAGGCTGTTTTTTTATTTGTTTGTTTTTTATTTGTCACTCATTCACTCACTCACAAATTTCAGACTGAACAATGTTTTTTCCAGTTAAACATTTTTTTCCTGCAGTTATGTGCCGATCCTCCCACATGAACTAACTTTCTGATGAAACGATGCATAATATCTTCACACAACTAGAGAGGTGTCTGTTATGTGAACCTGTCTCTTTCCCACGCTTTTGTGCCTATTCTCCACGTGAACCACACCTTCCAGACTAATCAATGTACCATCTTCACACAGACCCCATATATATATATATATACATATATATATATATATATATATATATATATACTTGATGTTTACCCTTGCACTTCTTTTACTCTGAGCACAATGAGTAGGAAACTGACCAAGCGATTATCTGTTAGAGGTTCTGGTCCAGGTTTTTTGACGTGATGAAGAGGGCACTGGCATTAAACCAGAGATAGCGTAGGAGGTCTCTAAAGTGGAATACTATACAGATTCTGTTCCATACTTTGAAGAGACTGACCAGTCAACAGATGGAGAGTGAAAGTCACGTGAAGAACAGTCACCTGAGGAGACATTCCAGTCAAAGATAAACGCTTGCTCTAGTGTTCCTCCACCCAGGACAGAGGAAGTAGAGCGAGAGTGGGAAACATCATAAAGGTGACGCCAGGGCCAACGTGGTATGCAACACCTCGTGTGGATGACATCAAGTCCAGCTTCCAACTCTTTTTTGCCAGAGACCATTGAGAGAATTATACTGGAGATAAACCTAAAGGGGGAGCATGTCTTTAGGGACACCTGGAGAGCGATTGACCTGGTAGACCTCCAAGCCTATATAGGTCTGCTGATTTTAGCAGGAGTAAATTGCTCAAACAATGAGGCTACGGAAATCTGTGGGATGCAGAGTCTGGCAGGCTTATATTCAACACTTTCATTTCCTTTCAAAAGTAATTCAATTTAATAACAGATACACGACCCGTCCGCTGGCGAAATGACAAACTGACACACACACAAACAACTTCATGTTGAGTTTGGTCTTTGAACATATCATGTAAAAATTTTATTAAGAAAACTATTTGTAATACATTTTCAGGGCCTAATTGTATTTTCACTGCAATAATTTTCTTCTAATTCTATAAATTTGTTAAACACTACTTTAAGACATTTTTCATAGCTAAGGATTGTTAAATAAAATATTGGTGGTGAAAAATGTTTTTTATGCTTATTTAAGAGCAGTTAAAACAGACCGATCAATTTTGACTGAGAACACTAAAGTAAGGAGTGAGGAGTGGGAGGCGAACACGACAGGAGGGTTAAACAGCCACCAGTGTGTCTGAGGAAAAAGTCCAGCACTTCATGACCTCTTCAGCAAGTTCCCTAGAGTAATTTGATTACAAACAAGCTGCGTGTGACCCGTTGAGGTTTACGCAGAGCAGAAGGAATGTGCGCTTGGGCCGCAACAGGTGAACTGTTCCTAATTTAAGCGAAATCGATAAATTACATTGTTTATATGGGGCACACTGATCAGCTTGTTTGGACTAAATATTAATTAAAAATGAATGGGAATTGAATAATTATTTTAAAAACGAAAGTGACAGGGATAAATGGGTCATGTGACCCCCAAATTCCACTACCTCCGCTCTGCTCCGGCACGAACTCCGGAGCAAAATCGGTTCCTTTGTAGTCAATCAGCAGCCCTCTGTTCCGGCGTCTGGCAAAAATAGGATTGATTCTGTTTTTGCCGGACGCCGGATTACCTCCGCAGTCAATGGGCAGGAATCACAACCGCCCAACAGGAAAAGGAGCAAGCACAACTTCCGTTTTTCACAATAAATCGATAAACAAAAGGCAGTTTTTTCGTTTCATATGCCCAGGTTTAACAACTTTTAACAACTATCAATGGCGGCTGAACTTTAAATGCACAAAAGTAAGCCATAAATACAGTTTCTACTGTCAAAGTAGTCACACTTTGTTGATCCAAACACTGCTGATCTCTCAACACAAATGATGGGCAGATTGAACAGTTCATTTCGATGCTTCTCCCACACAACAGGTGTTTGGATCTAACTTCCGCGTTTATTGCTCGGACTGTATCGCAAGATCTCGAAAATCCCGCTCATGCTTGTTTGCGCCCCTCAGGTCTCCGCACCGGAGCGGAGCCGTTGTAGAACGGGTATAGTAAAATTTGAGTTTGGAAGCGAGCGGCTGCGGAAGGCGGGGGCGGAGCGGAGCGGAGGTAGTGGAATTTGGGGGTGACCTCTGACTGCGAGCAAATGCTCCCTCCTCAGAGTGAGTCTAAATTCTTCAGCGATTCATTTCATTTCTCAGAGTCATAAAAGAAAGAAACCCAGTAGCTTGTGCTCACAGGGAAACAAGACGAGACTTCTTTTCAACAATTTAACTGTGTTTAATACGAGTCGTTTATACGTCACTCTACCAAACTACAAATACAAAATGAAACAAAAAGAAAAATCTAACTCTCTTCCAGCAAACATTTGCACTGCGCTTCTGTAAAAATAAAGAGACATAAAATTATTCTAATAACCCCTGGGGGTGTTTACTGGGAATTTTTTGGGGATAAATGGTAAATGGCCTGTAATTGATGTAGCGCCTAATAGAGTCCTGGAAACCTCCCCAAGGCGCTTTACAACACAGTCATTCACACACTGAGGATGAGTTACGATATAGCCACAGCTGCCCTGGGGCACACTGACAGAGGCGAGGCTGCCGAGCACTGGCGCCACCGGCCCCTCTGACCACCACCAGCAGGCAGCGTGGGTTAAGTGTCTTGCCCAAGGACAAAGCGCCAGACTGAGCGAGGCTCGAACTTGCAACCTGCCGATTATGGGGCGAGCACTTAACTCCTGTGCCACTGTCTCCCGCATATAACAAAATAACAATACAGAACAGACAAAGCAATATATTGCGATAATAAAAAACATAATTTTTGCAATTTTTAAGAATTAAAATTTTTAAGATTTTAAATGGAAAGCTCAGGCCAGATGCATCCAAAGCTCTTTCTGCAAGACACAGCACCAGCAAATCAGCGTAAAATTACCTCTACTATGTGTCTTATAAACTCACCATGCTGACATTGCTATGCAAGATTTGTTCTGCCTCGCTTGGTAGTAATGTTGCGGTAATTGTCTTACAAATGGCTATTGTGCCTTGGCGCAACAGAGAGAGGTGTCATTATCACGTCATGGCAAGCAACTACATTGAAAATGAAAAGAAACGCAGGCCGTAAGTTTTGCTTTTGCAATCAGAATCAGCTGAGATTGCAAACTGTAGCAATGTAGTGCATCTGGAGCTTCTCTTCAGTACAGGATACTAGGCAGTTTTGCTTGGTTTTAGCACCCCCTTATGTCTGTAGAAATTCAATTCAAGTTTATTTATATAGCGTCAAATCATGACGAGTCGTCTCAAGGCACAGTAAACATTCCAATACAGTTCAGGTCATTAAGCCATTCAGAAAAGTTTCCTAAATAAGGAACCCAGTAAATTGCATCGAGTCACTGACTAGCGTCAGTGACTTAACAGCAATCCTCATACAAAGCAAGCATTTAGCGACAGTGGAGAGGAAAACTCCCTTTTAGCAGGAAGAAACCTCCAGAGGATCCTGGCTTAGTATAAGCAGCCATCCGCCACGACTCAATGGGGATCGAGTGGACAGAGCAGACACACACACCAACACACACCAACCAACACACACCAACACACACCAACACACACCAACACACACACACACACACACACACACACACACACACACACACACACACACACACATACAGAGTCAAGTTCTTGTGTGATACACAATCCCCACTTGACAGGGATCATCTAGCTGGAGAAATATACGCAGGATTCCACTCAGGACTTCATGGCTTCACTTTTAATTTTCCTTTATTTCATTTCCATTTCATATTATCCAAGATGGAAATAGGAGATGACGAAGCACGAAGCAAGGCTAAGCCTACGAGCAGGTGAAAAACCTTAAACAAAAACAGTGTGTGTGCTAAGAAACCGTGTAATTGTGTAAAATTTCATTATCTCTATATAAACTACTATTCATAAAATAGGTAAATGCGTGATTTCAACATGATATATATTTTTTTAGCTAACATTTATAAAATAAATTTTATAAAATAAATACATGATTAATTCATTCGGACCCAAACTCACTTAAATTCATCACTTCAGCTACAGTGGGGCAAAAAAGTATTTAGTCAGCCACCGATTGTGCAAGTTCTCCCACTTAAAATGATGACAGAGGTCAGTAATTTTCATCATAGGTACACTTCAACTGTGAGAGACAGAATGTGAAAAAAAAATCCATGAATTCACATGGCAGGATTTTTAAAGAATTTATTTATAAATCAGGGTGGAAAATAAGTATTTGGTCAATAACAAAAATTCAACTCAATACTTTGTAACATAACCTTTGTTGGCAATAACAGAGGTCAAACGATTACTATAGGTCTTTACCAGGTTCGCACACACAGTAGCTGGTATTTTGGCCCATTCCTCCATGCAGATCTTCTCGAGAGCAGTGATGTTTTGGGGCTGTCGCCGAGCAACACGGACTTTCAACTCCCTCCACAGATTTTCTATGGGGTTGAGGTCTGGAGACTGGCTAGGCCACTCCAGGACTTTCAAATGCTTCTTACGGAGCCACTCCTTTGTTGCCCGGGCGGTGTGTTTGGGATCATTGTCGTGTTGGAAGACCCAGCCACGTTTCATCTTCAAAGCTCTCACTGATGGAAGGAGATTTTGGCTCAGAATCTCACGATACATGGCCCCATTCATTCTGTCCTTAACACGGATCAGTCGTCC